CGCCCAAAACTGCACATTGCCCAAAAAACTCCCGAAACTGCACATCACGCCAAACGCCCAAAACTGCACATTGCCCAAAAAACTCCCGAAACTGCACATCACTCCAAACACCCAAAACTGCACAATGCCCAAAAAACTCCCGAAACTGCACATCGCGCCCAAAACGCTGAAACTGCACATCGCACCAAAAACTGCAAATCGCCCCAAAAACGCCCGAAACTGCACAACGGCAGAAAAACACTACACCAGCAGCAATGTTTGTGGTTGGAAGCATCATGATGCAGGGCTGGTCGCATCTCATGGTATTGGTAGACTTCATAGAAAGGAAGGAACAATGAATGGGGCCTTTTGCAGAGATGATGAGGACAATCTGTTTAGACAAATGGGCCAAAAAAAACTCACTAAAAATCTGAGAACAGGAGACATTTCTTCGATTCTTTGAAAGTGTTATACATGTTATATTGTACACCTGCAGTCATGCCATGTCCGCTCACAACTGTCATGAGGTCCAGGTTTTAAGAGCCCTGGCCTAGTGTGTCATCAGACTCCGGGGGAAGCAAAGACTCGAATCGATGTGAAGAGATGGAGCGTCAAACCTGAGATCCTAAGGCAGGGCTCTTCAAATCTAGACCCTGATTCTAAATCCAGGCCTTGTTTTCAATTCTCCCAGGTAGTTAGTTTAACAATTACTTTTTCTGATTGGCCACAGCGTCATACCTGGCTCACAGGTAATGGGAAGCTGGAAAACCAGCACTCAAACCTTTAGGACCGTGATGTGAATACCCCTGTATCAGTGTATGACAGTGAAAGCTTCACCATTCACAAAAGCACAGATAACAGCAAAAACAGTAATTCAGCACTTCTTAAAATGTATTCCTTTAAAATAAATATCTGTTATTATTATACTGTTAAAAACAATCATCAAACATCACAATAATTTGAACTTTAAGCTGCTGATTAATATTATCAAAACTAATTATGTCCAACAAAGATGCTAGGGCAATTACAACGTTTGGTTGTTTCCGTGAAAACTGTGTCGTGTTCACCACTCCTGTACCTTCCTGGGGATGTCTTTCTAAAATATGACGTTGCTTTTTTCCGATATCCCGGAACACACCGCCGTGTTCATATCAGTGCACAATTGTTCGCAACGTTGCTGCATTTTGGAGGAGGAGCTTGCCATTGAATATATCCGTGTAATGACGATATACATACCCACTAAAAGCAGCATGCAACATCACACATACGTGCAGTTTTCGGTGCTTGCACTTCACCTCAACCGTCACGATAAGCATTCAGGTATAAAATCCACTTCCTAGGAGTATCCGAGTTTGGTGGAATCACTCACTATCAACTTTAAGTAAATGATAGTGATAAATTTGTTTTTGCGATGGCTCCTTGTACTTGCACGAGAAACTTTTTGGAGCCTGATCTCGCTTCCTACTTCGCTGATGAAAGTGAAACGGATTTATCACATCGGTGTAGTATTTTATTAGTATTGGTTTCTTTAAATAAACATTCGTGTGGGTATATACATTATAAAAATCATCAATAGTAAATGAAATGATTTACCAAAACGCTGGTCTTCCTCCCAGCCGGTGAGTGTAATGATCTGCACCTGGAGCAGGAGAGAGCCGACCCGGAAGTGTAAGAGTCGCTGGCTCCACACTTCTCCTTACGGGAGGGAAGATCAGATCGGATCGGATCGGATCGGACCGGACCGGACCGGACCGGACCGCCGACGTGCTCGTGGGCATCGTGGTCTCTTCGGTGTTTCAAGCAGCGTCTTTATCCGTCTGCTGCAAGCGAGGCTTTATTAATCTAATTTTACAGTGTCTTGCATTTTTTATGTTTAACCCAGCAGTGACCTGCTGTCTAACTGAAATGGTGTCGATGTATACGAAATATACTAAAAATGTGATCGTTTATTTAATATCATCCAGGTTACTTACACCTTCAGTCTTAAACATATCGTTTGTTACTAAACCCAAAACTCACTTAGAATATGTCAGTAACCTTTTTATTTTGTATAGGAAATGTTTTTTTTACAAGCAAAAATTTCTAAATTCCTCTCCATGCTTCCCAATGTCCTAGATGCTTCTCCAATAAAAAGTGACTATATGTATATGTGTGTGTGTGTGTGTGTGTGTATATATATATATATATATATATATATATATATACACACACCCAAAATTTGTGCATGCATATCAATGGCTGCCTCAAACAATAAAAAAATTGTAAATGAGCCAAAATGTATTTACTTAATCATTAAAATGTTATAATCATAAACGGTTAAAGATGAATTAAAATGTCTCCCTTTATTTGCTAAGCACGCAGAGGTACGTTAGCTGAATGACTGCAGGCAGAAAACGGCGCGTTTTTCAGCAATACACCGGAGTTAGGCTTGTGCCGCATTATTTACAGCCACTTTTAACATCGACACTGATGGCCATTAACTCTTAACAGAAATGACTCTTTCTACGTTAAAATAAGGCAACACTGTGATTTTGACACATTTTTTTTACTTAACAGTTCCTTCATCCCATTCCTCTGTCTCTGCTTATTGACATTTTGGAGAGTACAAAAATAAAAATTAACTTATCGATGCAAAATTTTCTAACAAAGACAGAGTTTGAATAGTAAGTATATGTTTTATTGTAATGTATTTGTGTTATTCTGCCTTGATATTATCCTGTCTCATCCTATCCTATTTTGTCTTATCTTATCTCTGTATTAACACTTAACATCTCTACTAATCCTCCTTCCTGAGCTGCAACCCATCAGTCCACGGATTCTTGACAGGAGCTGCTGTCTCTGCTGTCCCAGATTTAATGCTCTGGGTGCCCCTGGCCACTCTCAGATCACAGGCCGTAATTGATAAAGCACATTTTATATCGTAAGTCAAGAGTTCTGATAATGTCTTTTAATGCAGGGCTTTACTTTTGGCATGT